TGAAGAGGACAGAAGGCCTATCTGTTGGGACCCCTGGTTTATACAGCCTCAGACCTCTGAGACTACCTGAAGAGAGAAGCAGACACTAGCTTCCGAAAAGTTGTATTTTATAATGTTATCATTAAAAGGACGGAACAAATAAAAAGTATAAAGTTCAGTTGCGTTTCATGTTAGTCAATTTATGTCATTTCCAATCCACAACTTCATTATAAAACATTACCCTACGGCAAAATTTCGACATAATGGCAGGGGCCATGACAACAGCGTTAGCCCAGTTAACGCTTTTACAACGAAAAACAAAGGAACCTGGCTTAACTGATCACATAAAATGCATTCTTAGCCAGCTACAGCCAGCCAGGCGTTATTAGCCAGATAATTGAGGCTTATGCCTCTCATAGATATAAGACGGAAATATGTTTGTGTTAAATTAATGTTTAATTATTTCTTGAAAAGCTGACAATTGCTCAGCTGGCCAAAAAATTAAGAAAGTCCACCAAAGTCTTCAAACAATGTCTACAGCTGGACCAGTCCCTGAGAGATATGAAACCATTGCATTCTCAAATATTTCTTAAAGATTCATTTTAATATTATCATATAATGTACGACTACGTCTTCTAAGTGGCTTCTTTCCTTCAGGTTTTGTTTTCCGGCTTGTGTGTGCCCTTTATTTCCCATCTCCACCAAATCACTCCTATAACACCCTTCTTGTTTCGAATGCCCTAATTACATTTGGTGATAAGTATACGGTATATTATGAGAACCCTCCCATATTAGAAAGTATTAATTTCAGTTAAGTTCAAATTTTAAACGTCTACGACTATACTTAATTAATATGAATTACACAATTTTACAAATTTTCATCAACTACTAAATGGTAATTTTATAACAACTTCTATAATTATTATCTTAACATATATTTACACATAACAGAAATTTATAAAGTACATTTAACCCATTTTGCTTCTATTTAGAAATTTATAGAAGCCGTATTAACACACAGCCGACATTATATATACCTTAAGTTTCCTATTCACTCTCAGAGAATAGCCTGAGGATATGAAAATACTTTCTTAAAGTGTCGCACATAACATGTAACTAAACGCGTTAAAGCGTTGTAACTCTTCAATACAATAAACAAAGTTGTGTTTAAACACGCATAAAAGCAAGCGAACGAATGTGAGGTAACAAAGTTTCTCCATTGCGCCACCAGAGGGGAGAGATGACACTGAAAACACTGCCTGTTGCATACCTTTTGAAGATCTATCACTACTAAAACATCAGCACCCCATTTAAGCAATGTTAAGAGTAGATTCTACCTCACAAACTAGCATATCCTTCG